AAAAACTTCATAAGATCATATACAAAGCTGACACGATCCGTATTGAGATCATGAAACTTCATATCCAACACCTTCTCAAACCATCCTCAAATTCCAGTTATTTAAACTATGATGATGAACAGTGAGTCCAGTCTCCAAAACCGAGGAGCAACAACGATTCGAACCGATTAAACCTAGCTGGGAATTCCAGACCACACGACATATGCAGGTCCCCGACCTACATATATCAACCTACCCTCGGATCCTCTAAAACAAGAATGGGTCAACGCCATCCGAGAATACAGTACTCCACCAATCTAGCCCATTGCCACGTGGGTACACGCTATTCCCGCCATCTCTCCACTCCCAGTGCGCGAGTAGCCATTCTCGTAATAGAATAGCCAAGTTAAGGCTTACCGGAGTATGCGGTTAGTACTACAAAGTCTCACCTCATGCAATTAAACAACGGACAAACCTTAATCGACACAGGCGGAAAGAACCCACTCACAAGACCTCCACGTCTTGTGGCTCTCACACACCGAGTCCGCCCGGTCTAGATTTATTACTCCACATTCCCATATCACATGATAACATAAGTAACCAAAGATCCATTTAAAACTTGCAGATGACAGGTAATCACCCGACTTTCATCGTTCTAAGCATAGCTAAGCACAACTAGACATATACGAATTAAAACTGTTAATAGGGTAAATATGGAAAAACAAGGTTGGTAATGCACCAATTTGGTTTTCACTTAACTCCTAATCACTTAATGCAGTAAAGAAAAGCAAAAGCAAAATCAATTTGTAAAACACAAGGTAGGTTTAAATGCATCCGGGGCTTGCCTTTGTTGACGGAAAAGTTAAGTCCGGAGTCGTTCCACAATTATCAAACCCGACCTCAATAGGCGGATTAGATTCTTCCACAACTTGATTAACTACCACGTGCTCACCTTCATTCACTACACGTAGTAACAATGCCATGTTTAACATGATGCGAGATATAAAACATGATGCTCGATGATGGATGCAAAATTAACAACTTGAATACAACTTTCCTTCGCGGTACAGTTATAAGTCAAACTAACTAAACCTTTTTTGTAACACTTAATTCAATTGCCAAGGATCATTACCAACCAATGACCCAAGGTCATCACTCAATCCAGAATTCAAACCAAACCAAAATCATCAAAGGTTACTATTTGCTTTTATGAATTAATTATTTAATTAATAATTATGAAATAAATCAACTTGTTCCAATTGAGTCCAAAATTTTTGTAAATGTTCATCTCATGATAACTAAGTGGCAAAAAAATTTCATAATTTTGGGATAAATAAATAAGCCTAGAAAATTCATCGAAACTCATTTATTAATTAATTGAGCAAATTTTATCACATTCAAAAAGTCCTGAAAATCAATATTTCATATTTTTCCTAAATAATATACATCACAGAGAAGTCACACAAAAAATTTCATAATTTGTGGAGCTCTAAATAAATCTACACAAAAATAATAAAAACATACACTATTCATTCATCTCTGAAAAAGGAAAAATTCATTTTCAAACCGCTGAGTCACTGACAGCCCGTCCCCACCTGTCATCCCCAACCTACAGCGCTGACTACGGTGATGACCGGCGAAGTCTCGCCGACGGCGAGGTCTCCGGCCACGGCGAAGGTACCAAAACACTCCCCACACCACCCTGCATCGATTGAAGGCACTAGCTTGAGCGATTACAGAGGCACGAGCTTGACGCCGTCCATGACGGACACGGTGACATGGCTATGCTACGTCGGCAACGTGAGACCGGTAGTAGTTAAACTAAGCGCTTGGAAAGGATCAGTAGCTCACCCCGAACGCGATGGAGCAAAGAGCGAGGTCAGAGGATCAATGGAGATGCAGGTCGATGGTCACAACGGCCACGACGGTGCGAGCAACGGCGACGGTGGTGCTCCGGTGACTACGGTGGACAAAAGGAGCAATCAACTGGTCATAGAGCATCACGGAACAAGGCGAAGCTAGAGGTACACTGAGCAAGAGCAATGGCTCACCGGAAAGCACTGGCCACGACGGCGCAAGCACGACGGTGAGGTTGCCGGACGTGAGGAAGAAAGGCGCGCACAGCGGGTTCCCGTGGAATCAGGCACCAAGACTCAGTTGGCTAGGTGTGCAAGGAGTAGGCGGAGCTAGAACAAGCTTTGCCAAGATGGTGGAGGCACTACGGCGATGGCAAATGCACGCACGACGGTGCAGCGGCGATGGCGATCGGAAAACAGAGGAGAGCGGCGAAAAACGGCGATGGTGAAGTCCTTATAGAGTGGCTCAGAAGCAAGGAGAAGCCACGTAGGGACCTTTCCCGCGCCAGCACGAAGCCAAGGATGGCCACGCGCGCGCTTGGAACCGAGAAGAAGGCCGCCGGCGATGAGGTGGCTTCGGTGGCTACTGTTCCCCATATTTATAGAATTGCCATTCACCAAAATCTTCAAATTACTCCCAAATTTATGTAACAACTCAAAAATCTCCAAAAATAAAAGTTGCTCAAAATTTAAAGTTCTACAACTTTGATTTTATAACCACCCCCTAATTTGGTCTACATTTTGAAATGCAAATTTGAATTCAAAAATGGGACATTTAAAGAATTACGCCTTTTCAAATTACTTCAAATTTTTCTAAACAACATTGACAACTCCAAAAACCAACTTTGTACAACACGACAAGCTCTACATTTTTGCTTTAAGGATCAACCCCAAAATGTACTTCGATTTTAAATTAGGTTTTTTGGGGTAAAACAAATCACTAGAAATCAGGGTTTTCGGAAATCCAAATCAACACAATTGTTTTGAAATTGATTCAACCAACAAGGCAACACATATAACATAAATGTAAACTTGTTTTAATGTATGCATATCAAAGTTTTCACTAATACGAAATGATGTACAATGCATATGATGACATGGCATGTTTTAGTATTTAAAACACCCGGGGTGTTACAACCAATGACTGACTTTGCTGACACCTCGCCTGCCCAAGGCAAGCCCTAGTGCATAAAACTTATTTTGAATAATCACTTGATATATATGTGATGTGCATTTATGTTACAGGCTTATTGTTGAAACTACATGCATAGATATACCTACCTATGAGTCCTACTAGCTTAGGTCGAGTAGCTGCTATGCTTAAGTTTTTCGGTAGCATGAGGAACCTGCCGTTACTCACAATAGGTGTTTATTATTACTCTCATAATAAAATGGTGAAAGGAAATGGAGACCGAGCAGGGATATGGTATGGGTATTGGTGGGTGTAATAGGTTGTGTCCCATGGCCAACGGGGCAAAGCTTGGTTACACTGTTTTCCCTATCTGTGTTGGTTAAGGACCGTCTGTTGCTGTGGATTCTAGTTAGGTCACAGACTTATTATCCTAAGCACAAACTTGCTTATGGGAGTAGGAAGGATCGTTGCTCTCTTGTCGTGGGTTTCAGCTCTTTTTAGACCGACTGATTGGAGATGGGGATGGTGTAGGTCTAAGCACCACACTGGGTCCGGGACTCAGGAGTGGGGCCTTGGAGTCCAAGTTTGGGCGGGGACCTAGACCCCTTGATAGGACAATGATGGGTTGGTCTTGCTTGTGATTGGATTACAAGCGAGGCGTGTGTTTCAGGGTACCCAGCTGGGATACATTGGTTCGTGAATCGTCGTGTGATACCGTACGACTTGTCTACGATCTAGCAGCGTAGTAAGAACTGGAAGATGAAAGATGGTGAAATGGATCTGATTGCTCAACTCTTGCTTCAAAGTAGAACATGTGCTTACATAGAATGGTTAGATAATGAACTAAACATTACTGCTAATAAGAAACATACATAAGGATTCACTACTAGTAATGCTTTTCGCAAAAAAGGAAACCCATCAAACCATAAAGCTTATCATATCCTTTAGAGTTGGAAAATTATTCCCACTAGTCGAGTAAGTCTTGCGAGTACATTGTGTACTCAGGGTTATTTACCCCTGTTGCAGGTGTAGCTTGAGGAATGACTATTGTGTGGAGGATTCTTCTGGTGGGCACAGACGATCCTTATATCTTATTGTTAGATGTTTATTTCAATTCCACTGTTTAAATTCCACACTCTGAACTTGGTATGGTAATAATGTATTTTCAAGAACTCTTGTTGTATAAAATGGACTAAGTATTGTAAGCTCATACTCATTATTGGATCCTGGATGAAAAACATAGATTGTTCGAGTTCTCCCTTGGGGTGTGCTCGATGGAACCATTCGATGTAGCTTGCTTTCAGGGTGCTTAGTGTCTGGTGGAAGACGAGCACCTCCGAAAGCATGCTATTTCGGGCGGTTCTACCGTAGCACGACAGTCCTAGAAATTGCCACTTCAGCCATTACCTCCAAGTGTGCTATGTTTCTTGTATTTTTTCCAAACATATGTCCTTAAAATTTAATTTTCTTCATGTTTTCTCCAAACACCAAATTTGTTGGCCATTTCCTCCAAGTGGCGCTATTTTTTGTCAAACCATTTCCTAAGTCCACCATTTCATAACTTATTAACATTGTATTTTCTTTATGGTTTCAAAACATTGTTCACATAGCATTACACACCATAAGGAGTCAGACCATAACGAGTTCGAAGCATTACACACGATAAGGAGTTCGAAGCATTGTTCGTAGAACTGAAAGGTCATCATCACTTACATAAGTGTTCCATCTACCATATACAACCACTACTACTAACCACTATTCACCTAAATGGCCATTTAGCCCATTTAAACACCGTGCAAATGCTACACGATGGTGCTCCATTTCCATTTAATCGTCAGTTTAACTTGTTTAATTGTCCATTTAGCCCGTTTAATGGACTGTTTAGCCCGAATAATGGCTAAATGGTAGGACACCGAGTGTTTACCATTTAGCGCTTAGAAAAACATTGCTACTAACACTAGCTCAGATGGAACAACTCCTTCACGAGCCTTGATGCCACACTTGCACTTATGCTACAGCATCTTTATGCATGGTCATGGCTTAATGCCTGCTTCAAACTCTAAAAATTCATACTCAGAAGGCCAGTGCGATTTGGGTCCATAGTTGTACTTCTCAAAGTCACAAGATGGGAACCCTCTCTGCAAAAAATAAATGTTCCAAGTGTAACATTGTATGTGCAAAACGCATACAAGCTTAGAGATAGATTGCTTTCGTGACAACTTACATAATCTAACAATCCACAACGATAGAAGGAAGTGAATGCTCCATGTTGGCTGGGAGTAGCTAGTAGCGCTGACACTTCACAATTGCATTTAAGAGGATTGGCTAGACGACGCAAAGCAGCATCAACCTTCTCTACCTCTATCATTTTAGGAGGGTTCGGTAGCGGTGGAACCCAATGAACAAATTTCAAATATGGAACGCTCTTCCAGGGGTCATAAGGAAACAACATAATCGACGGATCGAACATTTCATCGCCATCGATCCACTGATAGAAGCTGCATCCCTCTAGGTAGGAATCAAGTGTTGGGGGACGACACTTAAGTTGGCAACAGTAGAAAGCACACCCAGTTGACGCGGGATGCCTTAACCGCTTCACAAATATCGGTAACCCACAGTAACACAACGGTGTTGGCTCTGCTGGTAGGAAAGGACCGATACCACCATGATCCTTCAGATGGTGCATGAATTGGTTGTTATTTGGAACCGCCATTGAACCTATTACATAGTAGTTGAACAAAGCAAAGTTATCAAAACATGATATGAAACCCTAGACACAACCTCATGGACTTCAAACCATCTCTGTATATACACAACCCAACCCATCCATACATCTAATAAGTACAAATTAACTTCAAATCACAAACTTAGAGGTAACTTTACTTAGCACAGGCTAAGCTAGACACCTATCCAAAACATTGCATTCAAACCCTAGAACAGTGCAATCCTAATAATACACGTGATTAGGGCAACAAAGTATCACCTAGCAAGGCAACAGTCAGTATTGCACGCAACAGTCTAAACCATAGCAGTCTAGAACCATCAACCACACAAAAAAACAACAGAGGATGAGAGAGGCATACCTCATGCATTAGACCAAAGGAACCAAAAATCCAAAACCAAACTTGATCAAAAAGAGGTAGAGAATGAGGAGAAAGAGAAGAGAGAGAAAGAGGAGACAATGTGAACCTTGCCCTTCTCACATGACTGAGGGAGTAGGGAGAGAGAAGAGAAAGCAGATGGGTCGTATGGCCTTATAAGACCCTATTGCGCCGGAGCCGCTGGTGCGATTGTGCGGGGCCAACGCTACGCCACGCCAGCATGTGGCGCGACAGAGTGGTACTGTCACGCCAATCCCGTTGGTGCGACACTAAGGGTTAGTTTTGCAAATACTTTTTTTGGGATTAGTATTAAAATATTGATTAAAAAAGGATTAAAAATAAAAAAACACACATGGTAGTACACTAAGCTACTCCCTCCGTCCATAAAATAATACAATTATGGTATCCGTGCGGGTCAATTGAGCTCAGATTTGACTCGCTTTATAGTAAATATCATTAGTATTTATGTCTCTAAATAAATTTATTATGAAAATATATTCTATAACTAATCTAATGGTACTTATTTTGAATTAAGAAAGTTTATACTTTTTTATATAAATTTAGTCAAAGTTCAGACTGTTTCACTCCTCGAAATACGAGAATTGCATTCTTGTGGATGGAAGTAGTACACGCTACTACTTAGTACATCAATCTTGTTGAATGTTTTGGGACAAGGGTCCCAAACATGATAAAGAGGTGGAGGCTCCTTGGTGAAGGCTAGCTGATGAAGGATGCTCGGTGAACGTTTCATTTGGTGGTCACACGGATCTCATGTGGAGGTCCTTGGATGAATGTCCTGGATGAAGGCTAGATGGACGAGGTTCCCCGATGCAGGTTCTGGGTAGAATGTCCTCGAACAAAGGCCAGAGGTGAAGGTCCTAGGACAAAGGCTCAGGGCGAATGTCCGAGGAGAGAACTTGTCGGTGCGAGAAGTGACCAACAAGTAAATATTTGTAGTTTTGCCATGCATTGTGATTGGATGTGGCCTAGCACTCAATGACACAGGATTTATACTGATTTAGGCAACGTGCCCTACGTTTAGTTTCCGTCGGTCGGTGACTTTATTCCTGAGCCCAGGTGCTCAAAGTTTGTTGTGGTGTTACAAACGAGTAGGAATAAGAAGGGGGGTGTTAAAGGCCCAGTCGGACTCTGAACCGATGGGCCGAGAGTGATGGGGGCTCTAACGTGCGCTAAGTATTGGAGCATATGCTCTGTGTAGCTTTAGAGTTCTAGAGCTATTGAGCTATTCAAGTTCTTAGGTCCTCGAGTACTTGAATCGTCTAGCTTCTCTTTTTTTAGGAGAGCCAGAGAGCTCATCCCCTTTTATACTCGAAGGGGGTGGCCTTACAAGTCAGAGAAAGAGAGAGAATGTATACATGTGCTTCCTAGTCTTGTTGCCCATGCTGTCGGGTATGAGACGGTCGTCGGCGTCCACAATACTGTTTATGTCCAGATGCATGTGGCAGGCTCTACCGTGTTCGCCTAGTATGGCAAATGTTCACACCTACAATACTGTTTTATGTTCTGACACACCTGGAAGGTTGCATAGTGCCCATCTAGCATGGTCTGGTGGCATCGTCCTGCAGGTGCATAGGGTATTGTAGGGTATGGTCCTTGGTATTGTGGTTTGATTTGAGCGCCTTATCTACTCCGCCTAATCCCCGGGCCCTCACCGAGCGGGTGTCCCCGGTCGGTCGTTCTCAGTCGGCCCCAACCGTGTCGGTCGGGGAAGAGCCACGAGTAGAGGTCTGGCGTATCCCTAGTCAGAAAAGGAGGTCAGAGTCAGACTGTGTCCTCACCTTGGCCAGGCCTTTTGGTCGGGGACCGGATCATTCTCCCAGCCTATCATTATGTATCTGGGCCGGCCCAGGAGGCACGTGTTGTCGCTACGCCATCTGTTGGGCCGAGTTTTTCGTAGGGAAGTGGGTCCATTGGGGACCCCAGGTTTATGAACCCGATAGGAGCCCCCGAGCCCTTTTGGGACTTCTGTGAAGTCATGAAGGGGTTGTTTACACTCATTTCACGAGCGCACCCTGTGGGTGTAAGATTGTGGGTCACCGTCGGACGAGACGGAGCGCAAACCCGAAGTGTCATGTGTGGCCGAGGGGTTGGGAAAGATAGGGCACCAACCCAAGTGTCGAGCGCCAACCTTAGTGTTGGGTGTGGCTGAGGGGTCGGATGATACCGAGCGCCAACACAAGTGTCTGGCGTAGCCGAGGGGTCGGGCGAGACAAAGCACCAACCGAAGTGTTAGGCGCCAACCCAAGTGTCGGGCGCGGCCGAGGGGTCGAGCGAGACGGAGCGCCAACCCAAGTGTCGGGCATGGCCGAGGGGTCGGTCTAGTTTCATGTGTTACCCCATCCACGGTTTCCGCAACTCGGAGGGGTTGAGCTAACGTCACTTGCCTCGATAGCTCGAGTGACGCGCTCGGTAAGCTTAATAATAGGTACATCCAAGTGGAATCTGGGTCTGTCATTCATAACAGGGTCGACATAGCCCTCATGTGGCATTCCACTGCTCCTTAACCCGCCTCTCGGCAGATGGCCGAGCCATTCTAGAGACTGACTCAGGTGTCCCGCTGGCCTTCCCTCGGTGGAGATTCTATGGGCATGGCTCGAGGTCAGGATCAAACGAGAAGGTAGAGATGACCTGTTCGGCTTCTGAGCAGATCGGGCGAGGGCCACTGGGGCTCATCTGTGTTTCTCCCTTGGCTCTAATTGATGTGAGGCGGCCTTGAGCCCTTCATAGGCCAACCTTCGTACCTCGGTCGGTCATCGCTCATATCGAATGAGGCGACTACCGCTTCATGATGCAACACGAAGCGTTGTGATGCAACAACTGCATATGCAATGCTTGGATGTGTGGAATGGATGTATGGATGAATGTATGAATGTATGCATGAGAATGGATGAATGAATGATTATGCACTAGAAAACAAAAGGGGGGGGTTTGGGAAGGTTACCTCAATGGCTCGAGTGATGGGTCTAGGGAGCTCCTATCGGATATGTCCGAATGGGATCCATGTCCATCGTTCATGATGGGGTCAGCATAACCCGCATGAGGCATCCTAGTGCTCCTTACCTGTCTCTCAACAGCCACCTGAGCTGTCCGATCGACTCGGGTGACCCATCGGCCTCTCCTCGATGGAGATTCCATTGGTGGACCCTTCCAAACCCTACCTGGGAAGGTGGAGGATCATTTGCATGTGGTTGCACCTTTTTCCTATGCCCGGGTTACGGTAATGGTGGGCCCTGCCTAGGCCACGTCCCGCTAATCGAGCGATGTTTTGTCGGGCAGGGCGTGTCCCATCAGCCAGGGCCACGTCCCGCCGCACGCCTTTCCACATTAAATAGGGGGAAGGGAGAGGATTTTCCTCCCATTCTTTTGCCTTCCTTCAACCATTGCTGTTCCTCCTTCCTCCTTTTCGCTAGGTCTGTTTGTGTGCCATGGCAGTTTCTAGGAGAGAGGAGTTTAGAGCGAGGGAGAGGACAACTCATAGATTCATTCATAAATCCTAGGCACGTTGTCGAACTAGAGGCCTTCCAAGGTAGATGAGGTGGTGCTGGCCACCTTCGCCGAGAATGGGCTGCTCCCATCGAAGGAGGTGGCGCATTGGAGGGCTCTTGCACCAGGGGAAGTTGTTCCGCAACCCTAGGCCGATGAGGTCGTCTCCTTCCTCGCCTTCCACGAGTGCGGGCTCGGGTATCCCACGCATTGGTTCCTGTGTGGGCTCCTCAATGAGTGGGGCCTAGAGCTGTAGCACCTCAACTCGACTGGGGTACTACACATCACCGGCTTTGGCACCATCTGCGAGGCCTTCCTTAGGATGGAGCCACACGTGGACCTCTTCCGGCATATCTTCAGTGGGCGAGCCCTGTCCGAGGGGAAGCCGCCCAGAAGCACGCCGGTTGGGGGATTTGCCTTGCAGAAGAAGCCAAAGCTGTCGGTCCCCTAGCCTACATACTCCCCCTATGACTCCAACCGGGGGTGGCACGGTGAGTGGTTCTACATCAGGAACCCGGCGGAAGCGCCATTCCTAACGTTCATAGGAAAAAGGCCAGAGAGGAGGGAAAGCTGGTTGTGGTGTCTCGTCGGTCGGTAGAACAAGTTGGAGGTTATCGAGATGGAGCTTTAGAGGCTTGTGCAGCATGGCCTCGATGGGTTGTGGGTCTTCCATACCTTCTTCTGCCATTGGGTCGCCCCGTTGGCAAAAAGAACGCGACCATTGTGGGAATACTTCGGCCCGATGGATCCAGACTGCGTGTCACTGGAGGAGTTGCCAAAGGATGAAGTCTGGAGTCATCTTGATTGGGTGCTGCAGTTGAGCGATAAAGACTCCCTTGAAGGGACACCTGGTCCCCTTTATGCTGTGAAGCTATCCAATTTGGTATGCCCCCCTTTTTGTGACCTTTTCCTTCTTGTTTTAATGTTTTGATTGATTCTGAGTTGCTCGATTTGAAGGGACTCATGGGCTATAGATCCTGCCCGCATCTTCCAAGAGGGCTAGAAGGCATGGCTCAACAAGCTACCTAGACGGAGGTGGTGCTAGCTAAGAAGAAGAAGAAAGACAAAAAGGCCCGGAGGAGGTTCTATAAGGAGAAGGAGATCAACC